TCCCAGAGATTGAAACCCAACAGTGCTGTTGCAAACTTGCTTGCTTGGGTCCACCAACCTTCCCCCCCTTCAAAGCTTGTCGGAACTCCCGGGGCCCCGGGCTTGTGATCTTCAGTCAGTCTGACCTGGGCCATTTGTTGCGGCCAGGTACTAGGCTGGCCCTTCACGACCTGGGGACCGTTGGTGACTGTCAAGGAAGCTAAGTCCCGAACTGCACGCCCTTGTTGGCAGAGCACGGCACGGGAATCACCCACATGGGCCAAGATCATCTCCTGACCCTGCAGAAGGACTCAGATGTTCACTTTTTTTGTGAGTTTTCACGGGGATTCCCAGCTCGTGGAGTATGATACTCCACAGTGAGATGTATCCTATGTGTATATTTATTTGTCTGTCTGTCTAGCTCTCTGTCTAGCTATCTGTCGATCTATGTATATGAATCTATAAGTATTTATATCTATCTATCTCTATCTATCTCTTTCTATCTCTTTCTATCTCTATCTATCTCTTTTTATCTCTACCAATCCCTCTCTATCTCTATCTATCTCTTTCCATTTCTACCTACCCTCATCTATATCTATCTATATCTATCTACCTCTATAGATCTCTAGCTATATCTTTCTGTTTCTATCTATCTATCTCTATCTATCTCTATCTATCTCTATCTATCACTATCTATCTCTATCTATCTCTTTCTATCTCTTTCTATCTCTATCTCTATCTATCTCTATCTATCTATCCATCTATACTAGGGTCCCGTAAGGTAGGGCTAAGGCCCACATAGTCCTAGGTCACTGTTATTGGACCCACATGTCCTAATTCACCAGAACGTACATACCTACATTACATTCCATTCCATTACATTACATTACATTCCATTACATTAACTTACATTACATTATATTACATTACATTAACTTACATTAACTTACATTAGCTTACATTACATTACATTACATTACGTTACATTACATACATTACATACATTACATTCATTACATTCATTACATTCATTACATAACATTACATAACATTACATTACATTACATTACATTTCATTACATTACATTACATTAATACATACATACATACATACATACATACATACCTACCTACATACATACATACCTACCTACATACATACATACATTGCATTGCATTGCATTGCATTGCATTACATTACATTACATTACATACATACATACATACATTACATACATACAGACATGCAGACATACATAGGACTTGGTCTTGGTGCACACAACTGTATGCCACCAGAGGGGCATAAGTCCTAAGCCATCAGAACATACATACTTACATTACATTACATTACATTACACTACATTACATTACATTACATTACATTACATTACGTTACAGTACAGTACAGTACATTACTGTAAATTATATACAGACATAAAAACCGAATAAAAAATACACAAATATATATATGGTTTTCATTGTTTCATTCGATTTAAATTACATGCATAGGACTTGGTGCACAAAATCGTATGTCACCAGAGGGGCATATTTATACTTTCTAATTTATTTAATTGCTTTAAAATAATGTATGTATAAAGGTCGAATGAAAAAATGAAAATCACAGCTTTTTTGAAAAATATTTTTTTTGAAGACGGGCACAAGTCCTAAGTCATCAGAACATACATACTTACATTCACAGGCCCTCCGGGTCCGGAATCCAGAGGGGGGACACAACGATATATATAATATAACGGGGAACAGAACGGGGAAGCACAACGGGAAAACAAAATGGGAAACAACAGAGAAAAATGAAAAGTGAAAAAAATAGAAAGTCATATTTATATTGTTTAAATCTATTTAATTGCTTTAAAATGTATGTATATAAATCGACTGGAAAAAATGAAAATCACATATTTTTTTTGAAATATTTTTGTTTTTTTGAAAATGGGCACAAGTCCTAAGTCATCACATCATGCATACTTACATTGACAGGCCCTCCGGGTCCGGATGGGTTGACAGGCCCTCCGGGTCCAGAATCCGGAGGGGGAACACAACGATATAATATAACGGGGAACAGAACGGGGAAGCACAACGGGAAAACAAAATGGGAAACAACAGAGAAAAATGGAAAGTGAAAAAATCAAAAAGTCATAATTATATCGAAAGTTACTTTTCCCAATCTCCCTCCAGCTCAAGGGTACGCGTCTCCCTCAAGAAAACTGGTGCTGCCTCAGATTGGCCATAATTATACGGTTGGGGTTGTATATGAATACATATGTATAGACTGCCGGTCTTCTATTTTATCTTACATGGTGCCAGAATTAATCAATAATTTGATTTGTTGGAACTGCAAAGGCTGCATCGGAAAATCCATCGGTCCCGTACAGTACAGATTCACCATTCCCTCGTTGCTGGCTCAGTGCCACGTAGCTGGCTCAATGCCTCGTTGCTGGCTCAGCGCCTCGTAGCTGGCTCCTGTTTTTTTTTCCCCTCCCGCGCCTTTTTTCGATCCGCGCGGTTGGGGTGAAACGTTACCGCAGGGGCAGGCCAAATCGAGGATGTCTGGAAGTGGCGGGCCGATGTCCCCAGCGGGCTGTTGCGGACGTATCCACAGGTGGCCCTGCGCGGTGCTGGCCACCGCTTGCTGGAGGGCGACACTGAGTAGCCCCCGCCATCGGCGCTGCCAGCCACTGCGGGCTGCGGCGCATACGGCCGCGGCAGTGCGGCGCGCTCGATGGCGCAACAGCAAGCGCAGCAATTGCTGGCAATCGCTGCCCCAGCGGCCGCCGATTTCGCACGCGAGGACGAGGAGGCACTGGCCGTGAACGAAAAAAACGGAAAAAAAAAAACGCAAAAAAAATTGAGCCAGCTACATGCCCTTGAGCCAGCTCGGTGTGCTGTCATCATCCCGGCCAATACATATTATGTATTCGTTTTTGAGCTTTCACATTCGTTCGCCAGCTCAACGTGACGTAGCTGGCTCATTTTTTTCGAACTTTCTTTTTCGGTGTTTTTTTCGTTCAAAAAAATAGAGCCAGCTCGATGCCATCGAGCTGGAGCGATGTGTTTGAGCTAGCGCGGTGTTGCTGAGGTAGCTCGTTCCACTTGAGCGAGCCCGCAAATTTTTCCCAATGTGTTCAATTGCCAGGTTCAGTCCCAAATGATTCGTTTAATAGAGATGGTACCCCTGTTGCAGCCCAGAAATTTAGGAGCCACGTCTTGGGCCAAATCTGCTTAGACAGCGGTACAACCTTGAAGTCAAACACATGACCCCTTCTGAAATTGAGCCAGCTACATGTTTTGAGCTAACTCCAAAATGAGGAAGATTGTGGATTGCTACAATCAATTATAGTTTTTAAAACTATTTAATTGCTTCAAAATAATGTATGTATAAAAATTGAATCGAAAAAATGAAAATCACATATTTTTTTTGAAATATTTTTGTTTTTTTTGAAAATGGGCACAAGTCCTAAGTCATCGTAACATGCATACTTACATTGACCGGCCCTCCGGGTCCGGATGGGTTGACAGGCCCTCCGGGTCCGGAATCCGGAGGGGGACACAACGATATATATAATATAACGGGGAACAGAACGGGGAAGCACAACGAGGAAACAAAACCGGAAACAACAGAGAAAAATGAAAAGTGAAAAAACTAAAAAGTCGGCCCGCCGCAATTGAAGCCAAATAGCTGCAGCCCACGAGCGCGATGACTTAGGCCCATTTTGATATATTTCTATTAGTTCATTCCTAGGTCATCATGCTTTACGAGTGGTCCATGCCGCACTAGATTCTTGAAAAAATCAATACTTTTCAGCAAATAAAAAAATCAAACATAGTTCCTGTTTTCAGACGGACACCTGATGAGCTGGGACTTGTCCAGGGGGGGTCCGGCGCATGATGAGATAGGACTTGTCCACCCCGGGGTATCTTTCACAAGTCCTAGTTCACGGGTTCCTAGTATATCCATCTATCCATCCATCTATCCATCTAACCATCGATCCATCGATCCATCTATCTATTTATCTATCTATCCATCTATCACTCTATCCATCTATCCATCTATCCATCTATCCATCTATCCATCGATCTAGCCATCTATCCATCTATCCATCTATCTATTATCTATATATCTAACTATCTACCTACCTATGTGATTTACAAGGTTGTATATACGGCCATGAGCATCAACCAGCTTTGGAATCTTCAAGTGTTTCCGACGTGATGTCCCCCAAACCCGCCGTTGCTTGGATGTTGACCATGAACCAACCACCGCTGTCTTCTAAGCCAGGCCTGGATGAGGCAGCATACAGCCTTGGGCGTCCATGGCTTCAAGACTTGATCTTGCACTGCTCAAGTCCTTGAATCCCCTTCAAAAAATTGTATGGGGCGAAAATATGAAGGGTTAAGTACCATGAATAGTAATAGTGCTCTTAATGTTACCATGGCCATAGCAATACTCCATGTCCACCAAGACTTCGCAACTTCCACGGCTCAGGTGCTCGGCTGCCGCGCCGTGGTGCCGCAGTTCTCCGCATTGTCCTGCGTCTCGTTGCCTCGCCGGTGCGACTCTCGGGGCAGCAAACGTTGGATGATATGGACCCTTGGTAAAATGCACGTGGTAAGGAACATTGTTTATCTGGAATAGCTGAGAAGTTAACCATCCACACATTAAAGTAAAAAAACAAGTGATCAAATGTCCATTGCAGTTTTCCTCGCCACCTGCCAGAACTGCAGTTACCCCGACCACCTGGAAGCGTAAGGTCCCGGAGTTCGGAAGCACTTGAAGGGCGTCGGAGCAACTCATCCAGGTGAAGGTAGGCCTTTCCAGGTCAGTCAGGTACCGGGTGAACCAAAGATCAGCACCTTTCAATCACCACGCAACAAGTGGAGCTGCTTTTTCTTTCCATTTTCAAAAAAAAAACTTGACACTAAAAACCTCTTGAGTTTTGATCCACCCAATCCACCCAATCCACCCACCTATGCCTGTGACCGACCTTGCCGGCGCCTGACGGAAGGAGGCCTCCATATCTGCACCCCCAAAGCTTGCCAGCACTTGGGGCAGCCGGCGCCTCGGAAGCTTCTCCCAAGGACCAGCAACCATGATGCGAAACATGTAAGAAGTGGTACAAATATGTATGATATAACTTATATAGCTGGTCATAACTCACAATTTGGTTTAAAAGACAGTTCGGGTACCACTAACCCATCGTTTTTTCACTCTCACTTCTTGGATGTGCATCCCTGGTAGTTTATAGAGGTATTAGCTGGTTCATGGTGGTTGGTAAGCATGGTCGTGGTAAGTTTCCCTAATCAAATAAATCGATGTCACCCCAGGAATGTCGGCTGTATCTGGCTATCACGGGTTGTTTGGGAATGTTGGGCGTAAGCCGAAGATCACTCGATTTCGGGTGCGAGGGTGGAAATAATAGGAAACCATGGTAAAATGTATGTATGTATAGTATATATTAATATACGTATGTACGTATGTAAGTATGTCTGTGTCTGTGTGTATGCGTGTATATGCGTGTATGTGTGTCTGTGTGTCTGTGTGTATGCGTGTACGCGTGTATGCGTGTACGTGTGTATGTGTGTGTGTGCGTGTATGCGTGTATGTGTGAATGCATGTATGTGTGTATGTGTATGTATATATGTATGTAAGCATGTATGTATGTATGTATGCATGCATGTATGTATGTATGTGCGTGTCTGTATGTGTGTCCGTATGTATGTGTGTCCGTATGTCCGTATGCCTGTCTGCCTGTATGTCTGTCTGCCTGCCTGCCTGTCTGTCTGTCTGTCTGGATGTATGTCTGTGAACGCACGTACGTACGTAGGCATATTACAATAATTTAATAGAATCTCAAAAACTATAATCCAATGTAATGTGATATTTTGTAAAAAAATAATAATGCAATGTAACATCTATCAAATTTCACGAGGTCTTGGGATTTTTGATTCTTTAGGAGTATATTGAGTTTCAACGTCAAAACGCATCATTTCGAGCAACCCACGTGCAGAAGGGTCGCGAGGAAAAGTGTTGAATGTTGTGACTATTGTTCAGTGGTCCAAAAATAAAATTTGCCTTCGGAAGCAGCCGGAAACAGCTGGAAACAGTCGGAAACAGTCGAGAGCGGCCAGGCATGCAACATAGTATAATACAATGTAATACAACATAATACAACATATATAATATAGTACATTAAAATAATGTAATATAGAAAATGAAATAAAACAACATAAAATAATATATTATACTGCAATAAAACATACTATAACATAATTTACTATGATATAATATAAATGAAATGAAATACTAATGTAATATAGTATAGTCTGATTTAATATAGTATAATAAAATATCAGATAACAATTTTTAATGCAATGTAATACACCACAATAAAACATAATATTATATATATATGTACCAGTAGTACCGCACAAGGCGGCGGAAGTTTCAAACATGGGGCACTATAGGAGAGTTCTTCTGATGCATGGATGACAGAGCGAATCCACTGATGGACCGAAAGTTGGTTGGAGTTGTTATTTTTGGAGTGGTTGCAATGATTGCAGTGGGCACCTCACCCACAACTCCTGGATGTAGTGTGGTGTAGCGCAGTTGTAGCTGTAGTGTAGTGTAGTGGAGTTGTAGCTGTAGTGTAGTGGATTTAGTGTAGTGCAGTTGTAGTTGTAGTTGTAGTTGTATTGTAGCCTAGTCTAGCGTAATTGCGTGTAGTGTAGTGTAGTGTAGTGTAGTGTGCTGTAGCTGTAGTTGTAGTGAAGTGTGGTCTAGTGTAGTGTAGCATAAAGCAGTTGTAGTTGTAGCTGTAGTGTAGCGTAATGTAATTAGTGTAGTAGTGTAGTGTGTGTAGCTTAGTGCAATGCAGTGGTAGTTGTAGTTGCAGTTGCAGTTGCAATGTAATGTAATGTAATTAGTGTAGTATGTAGTGTTGTGTAGCGTTGTGTAATGTATTGTAGTTGCTGTTGCATTTGTCTTTGTAGCTGTAGTGTGCTTCAGTGTAATTAGCGTAGTGTAGTGTAATGTAGTGTAGGGGTAATTGTAGCTGTAGCTGTGGTAGTAGTAGTTGTTGTTGTTGCTGTAGTTGTAGTGTAATTAGCGTAGTGTAGTGTAATTAGAAGTAATTAGTGTAGTGTAGTGTAATTAGTGTAGCGTAATGTAGCGTAATATATTTGCCTTTGTAGTTGTAGTAGTAGTGTAGTGTAGTGGTAGTTGTAGTTGTACTTGTAGTTGTCTATTTATCTGTGTATCTATCTGCAAGCTTGAAGACGAAGCTATTCTGCGAGACATCCTCAGTTTTGGAACTTGGCAACATCCAAAAACGCAGCAATGCCGCGAGACTTCCCAATTTTTGAACTTGCCAACGCAAAAAACGAAACAAGTCTGCGAGACTTCCTCATTTTCTAAGTTGACAACATCAAAAACAAAACAATTCTGCAAGCCTTCCTTCCAAAATGGAAAGTTGAGTGCAGATCTGTCTAGAGTCTAAAGTACTGCGCATGCCACGAAAAAGTGAAGCCAGGTCATACGAAGTGCTGCATCTGTCCCGCAACATCATCTTAGCAAACCTGAAGATCTGATGCTCCAAAATGCACTCTCTCTCAGGAAATCAGCTTCCGGACCTCCTAACATCTCTGATGAACATGTCTCTTGTACTGCCCCCGCCACGGAAAATGCATCTTCGCAGATCCTGTTCAAATGTCACAATCCCTTTCACCTGCCACGCGAAACGACATCTGACCGTCCAAAAGTGGTCTGTACCCGTCAGTTTTTTGCACTCTTGACTTGGACATGTGCTTCGCGGCACACAGCGTGCACTTTTTCGGAGCATGGTGTGCTTTGTACATTTTGACTTCGAAATGTGCTTCGCGCCACAATGGCGTGCACTTTTTCGACATCTCAACTTCCAACAGTGCTCCAAACCTGGTGTGCTTTGTACATTTTGACTTGGAAATGTGCTTCGCGCCACAACGGCATGCACTTTTTCGACATCTCAACTTCCAAAAGTGCTCCGAACGTGAGGTGCTTTTAGCTTTTTCACTTGCGGCGTGCGACTTTTCATCTCTCACCTGGCCACATGGCTCCGCACCCGCCGCTTTAGCGAGCCTACTTTTCGACCCTCCGGAGCCACAAATCATTGGAAAAACACAGTGAACCGCGACTTTCCTACCTGTTTGCACACCTGGATCTTCTTTCTTCTGAATTTCTCTTCTTTGATCTTCTTTCTTCTTCTCTGCTCTTCTCTGACTCTGCCCATCTCTGCTTTTCATCTGTCCATATTGTCGGAAGTTTGACTTCCAAACTTCCTTCGACAATATTCAGGTTTATTATATTATGTGATTTTGCGTCTTTTATTCAAAATTAAAATCTTATATTGTCTTGTATTAGATTAGGCAATCATATTTGTGATTCTTGATATTTAATAATATTACATTATATAGAATTTTATGTTATTTTAGTTGTTTTATTGTCTATTGAATTTTGTTAGATTACCTGTATTATGTGCTCTCTTGTATCACATGACATTACAATGTATTAAATTAAATCATACCATGTTGCATTACAGCAAACTATATTTTATCAAACTATATTATTTTTGTTATATCACACTATATGATAATACATTGTATTTTCTCATACTATATTGTATTGAATCATGCTATATCATGCTATAATAAAATAAAATATGGCAGGTTATGTTATATGATGTTGCAATATATAACTTTATTTATTACTTTATTACATTTTATGATATTAGATTGTAGTTCATTATCTTACATTTTGTTGTTTTATCTCCATTATTTGACATCATAGTATTCGATTAGATTTTATAGTAAAAATGTTTTATTACATTACTTTGCATTTTATGTTGAGCTGCGCTCTATTAAATTAAATCATAGTACACCACATTACATCACATCATATTAAATTAATGCCCTATATTAAGTTGTATTATATATAGCTATGTTATGTTATATTATATTAAACTAAATTCTATTATACTATGTCAAATTACAACGTAAAATATTACATCATATCATATTATATTATTTGATACTACACTATATTTTGTCATTTTGTCCTTTATTACATTATACTATATGTTTTAAAAAAAACTGTTCTATTTTATTAGATTTACGAAGGAAGTTTAGAAGTCAAACTTCCGACAATATGGACCGATGGAAAAGCAGAGGTGGGAAGAGTCAGAGAAGAGAAGAGAAGAGAAGAGAAGAGAAGAAGAGAGAAGATCAGAGAAGAGAAAGAGTCAGAAGAAAGAAGATGCAGGTGCGCGAAAAGGTAGAAAGGTCGCGATTCACTGTGTTTTTCCAATGATTTGTGGCTCCGGAGGGTCGAAAAGTAGGCGGCGGGTGCGGAGCCATGTGGCCAGATGAGAAATAAAAAATTGCACGCCGTTGTGGCGCGAAGCACATTTCGAAGTCAAAAGTGGGAAAAACTGCGGGTTCGGAGCACTTTTGGACGTCCGGATGTCGTTTTGAGTGGTGGGCACAAGGGATTCTGCACCTTGCCAAAAGTTTGCAAAACGTGAGGGTTTTGTAGCAGTTTCAACTACAACCACCACACTACACTACACTCCACTCCAACTACAGCTACAACTACAGCTACAACTACGATTACAACTACCACTACAACCACAACCACAACCACGCTACATTTCACTACACTACACTGCACTACACAAATTACATTACTCACTCATTACACTGCGCTACAGTACACTCAACTCCAATACACTCAACTACAACTACAACTACAACTACATTACACTACACTACACTACACTAACTACAACTGCAGTGACAACTACAACTAGGTTCCATAACACTTCACTACACTACACTACACTAATTACATTACACTACGCTACACTACACTCACTACACCACACCACGCCAAACTACACCACACTACACTACACTAACTACAACTACAGCTACAACTACAACTACACTACTTTACACTACACTACAACTACAACTACAACTACAACTACAGCTGCACTACACACTACATCCAGCAGTTGTGGATGAGGTGACCGACCAGGTGACCACTCCAACCATTGTAACCACTCCAAAATAGACAATTCCAACAACCTTTCAGTCCACCAGCGGATTCGCTCTGCCATCCGTGATTCGCAACAACCAAGCTCCCCTATAGGTTTCCTAGTCTGAAACTTCCGCCACCGCCTTGTGCGGTACTACTGGTATTATATTATATCATATTATACTATATTGCATTAAATTAAATGTTGTTCTATCATGCTATCTTATATTAACCATTTTTGGTGTTCATACAATATTAAATTATGTTATATCAAACTATATTATATGAAATTATGTTATGCCATACTACATGATATTAAACTGTGTTATATCGTACTATATCATATTAGATTATTATGTTAAATTGCATTTTACACACATATATATATATATAAAAACCAACTGGGAGATTATAATAGCACCATTCCTGAGGAACCCCAACACCGTGAAGCGGGCGACCTGGCTGAGGTGGCCATAAAGACATAGCATGGGATAGAGAGCCATATACAGTAGCCAGAGCTGGAAGAAAACAAATGAGACTTAAAAGAGGTCTAGAGTCTAGAGCAAAAAAAAATAGGAGAGAAATGATTTTGATCATTTTAGATCGTTTTACAGTGCACCATTTTTACAGGATGGGGCCCCCAAGATAGCTAAGTTGGTTTTATAAGTGGCTTAACAATGGTTTATGGTAGATATAACTATAGTGAATGGGGATTATAATGGTTTGTAAACCAACTTATAACTGGGGGCCCCATCCTGTACCCATTTATATGGAAACCCATCATCAGAACAGTTATTGGAACAGTTATTAATGTGGTGATGTCAACATATGAACCATATTATACTAGAACATACAATGTGGTGCCCCTCAGTTATAAGTTGGTTTATAAACCCCATTAACTATAGTTATATCATGTTATATCTACCATAAACCATTGTTAAGCCACTTATAAAATCAACTTAGCTATCCTGGGGGCACCACCTTGTATAGTTAACATAATATTATCGCCCTCCCAAAAAATCAAAGATCGCTCTCCCAGAAAAAAAAAAAAAGCGCCCGGAGGTCGGGCAGGTCGGGCCGCCTGTTCACCTCCATGGCCGTCAAAGACTCCGAAGAGAGAAGCGTCACGCCTCGCTGCTGGCTAATGGTTATTAATGGTTATTGATGGTTAATGGTTATTGATGGTTATCCAAAAATATCTGGTTGGTGGTTGACCTACCCCTCTGAAAAATATGAGTTCGTCAGTTGGGATGATGACATTCCCAATATATGGAAAAGTAAAAAATGCCCCAAACCACCAACCAGATATATACTGGAAGGGATGATCACGAAGTGGTGTATCCTGCCAAAAAAAACAAACCACCAAGCCAAAGCCTTGACACTTCATATCTCCGGGACCTCCCTTCCACCATTGGAGAGAGAAGGGCCAAATGACGCACCACAAACCACCCAGTGCCGTCCTTTTCTTGCAATCTGCGACTGGAACTCCAGAGGTATCTAAGCAAAAAACAGGGCTACCTGCAAGCATTGGTTGCTGGCAGCAACGTGTCAGTTGAAGCAGCCACAATAGGCTGAAAATCGGCTCTTGCCGAGACTCTTGCCTGTTGGATCTATGCTGCATGTGATCAGCTTTTAGCATTCAGAGCGGTCAAGCATCTTCAGTTGTAAGCCCCCTTCCGAATTCCCCCCAGCTGCCTCTTGATGTGGATTTCAGTCAATTATGCTCCCTGCAATCTCAATAATTGGCACTTTTGACCCCTTGTCAGCTGACTTGCTGCAAATTGCAACTGTAAACAATGTTCTGCCAAATGCTTGACCCCTCAATACAAACTTTTCCACCACATTTTTCCCTGACTAAATACTCACTTCGCGAGCTCCAAGAGAAACAAAACCTGTGCATGGGAGCCCTCCACATCCTCCATCTCCGCCATCTCTGCGGCAGTGTAGCCATGGGAGCTTTCCTTCGCTGGGTCCACACCCGCAGCGAGGAGCAGCTTCATCACCTCTGCATCCCCAAGCCTGGCCGCCACGTGGATGGGATACAGCACCTCCCGGCACCCAAAGCAGCCCCCACAACGCCGATCAGCACTGCGCGCGTCACGGAAGCCGTGGCAATCCAAAAAGCTGTTCAGGTACTCCTTGGACGTTGATCCGGCACACTGGAGAAAAACGACAAAATCGAACTGGAGATTTAGCATTGAAAAAACAACGGAAATGATGCTTTTCCTTTTTTTGTTTCAATGAAAAATAGCGGCAAATCTGCGGGTGATTTTTGTTGAACAGGTACGCACCTTCAGCACCCCCACTCCTCGGTCATCAATGCATCATCAATGCGACTCCAGGAGGACTTGGAGGACTTGGAGGACTTGGAGGACTGGGAGGACTTGGAGGACTTAGGCTTGGCGACATCGACCTCGGGGTGCACGGGGTGCACCTGACTGGCAGATTTCGAGCGGCTGGAAGACCTGAGGCTACTCCTCTCGGAGACCCCAGTTCCCCAGGCATGCCGCACGGGCGCCCGAGCTTGGCGAGGCAACACGCTTTCGCACGGCAGAATGCGGTGGAAAAAGGTGGGCGACATGGTGAAGGCGCTGCCTTGAACAATAAAAATTCTGGAACATCTGGATAGATCACGGTGGATCGGTGCGGAGCGGCCTCAAGACTTCTTTCATCTAAACTCTAATCAACCTCGGCTTCGGGTCTCTTCAGCAAATCACGAAGGAATCACCGTTCCAACAATTTGTTTGTACCAGGAGTTTTCAAGTTTTGGATCTGATTTTCTCCAATGTTGAAACCAACTTCCACACCGAGTCCGAATCTTGGAGGAATCCCTCTGCGTCATGGAAACCAAATCCTTACCATGTCCTTGGGAACCGCACCATTCACCCGTCATGTAGCCCCGCGGAAGCATTAAAGAGGCGTCCTGAGTGGCTTGCGATAGGGAGGTTTTCACCGATATGTGCGTGTGTGCAAATGTAGGCAAATGTATACAGATGTATGTATTGAAATATTAAAACTACGACCACAAAAATTGTTGATTTAGTTGTTATCAACCATCAAATCGAGGGCAGAATGGCTGTTCCACAAGTCAAAATGGGATAATTTGTGGATTTGATCAAACAAAATGCAGGGTAGAATCAGCTAATCAAAAGAAAGGGATTTTGTTAGCCTATCTGCTGGTTTCAGAACTATTTTGGACACATCCATTTGGAGCCTCAAGCTGCACAAATAATACCCCAAGAACGAAACAGCGATAAGTTGCCTGTTGTAAGTGACTGATTTTCTTCAGTTTCAACTTGTCATCAAGCTTGTGTCTGTATTCAAAAAAACTGCCAATCTAGATTCAAGATGTACGTACCCACGCATATGTGTATTTTTTATAAATATACATTATTTTATTTTACCATAGCCTATGTAAACACACATGATACTTTATACATGTACGAATAGCATCATCCCAATCAAGTGCGCCATGCATGTAGCGGCAGCAAGTCCTCCATATTTTGACGCCAGCCACGCATCCCACAGCAAGCCCAGGCTAGACCTGCAATGATGTGGCCGTCCAGACACTGAAGTCCCCAGAGATTTCAAGGAAGCCGTCCTTGAAAAGATATAATATGGAAAAAGTCACAAACAACTCATAAAAATTCAAATATGTTTGCCAAAAATATTCTATTTATATGCTTCAAGATGTGATATATATATATACAGTATATCAAAAAATTCAAAATTGTTGTGGTAAAAGCCCATCATTTTTACATCCAAAAAAAGGGATGGTTGAACTCCCACCCCTTTCTGATCAAATCGGGCTTACCACATTACCACCATCCCCCCAAACTCACATCCTGAACCCAAATGAAGATAAATTATACCAAATTAGATCAATATCATTTATACATAAATAAATTAAACATATATAAGATGTGCATATATATATAATATGGTTGGTGTCAAATAAAAAAATATGTGTAGTATATATAGCCTCGTCCCAGGTCCTAGAACTGCGCAAGCCCGAATTAGGTTGGTAAAACTTGTCAATTCCGTGACGAAATTTCGTCGCGGAATTGACAAGTTTCATTAGGGTCATCATCATCATCATCATCATCATCATCTCATCATCATCATCATCACCATCATCATCACATCATCATCATCATCAGCATTAGTATCATCATCGTCATCTGCAAGTTCACATGAACGTTAACATCCCACCCCATCCCCCCCCAACCCCACCGCGCGTGTGCGTACAATCAACTGCTTCTGCAAGTTCACATGAACGTTAACATCCCACCCCACCCCGCGTGTGCTTAGCATCAACTGCTTCTGCAAGTTCACATGAACGTTAACATCCCACCCCATCCCCCCACCCCATCGTATGTAGTTCCAGGACCTGGGACGAGCCTATATATACATATATAATATGGTTGGTGTCCCACTTCGAACTGGTTAACACAAACGAAAACATTGTGAAACAAAGCCACCGACTGTGGGATTGCCATGATTGGTTGTGACAAATCTGAAACTATGAAAGTGCACTGTCACTATCACCTGGAAATCATACACAATTGTCTGTGGCTGAGGTAGTTTGAGTATTAGCCAAGGAGGGAGGGGTTCATGCTTTTAATTTTGAAACAGGATGATTCGCAAAGCCCTGGTGACGTTTTCTGAAGTGTTTCCAACATAGTGTTACACTGACAACGGCCAAATTTAACCCATGCCTCAACCGGTGGTCAACCTTTATTCAGGATGGGTCCGATCCGATGTTGCTCCTTCTTCGCGTAGTATCGTCTGACGCTGCAACGTTGCGACTTGTGTTCGCGTCTTCGCGTAGTTGCATCTGCCTCTGTCGCGTCTGACGCTGCGACGCTGCGACGCTGCGACGTTGCGAGTTTGGGCAGCGTCTTCGCGTAGTCGCGTCTGACGCTGCGACGTTGCGACTTGTGTTCGCGTCTTCGCGTAGTTGCGTCTGCCCTTGTCGCGTCTGACGCTGCGACGCTGCGACGCTGCGACGTTGCGAGTTTGGGCGGCGTCTTCGCGTAGTCGCAACTGACGCTGCGACGTTGCGACTTGTGTTCGCGTCTTCGCATAGTCGCGTCTGCCCCCGACTTGTCCCGCAACCGCGCGGCACCCACAATGGGATTGCCCGCTGGTGAAGTGCCAACTTGCCAAACGTTTGGCATCACTCCGTGTTCCACCAATGGAAAAGATTCCACCCGGTGACTGGGGTGCAAAACAATGCCAGCACACGAAGCAACAATGGAAATGTAAATGTCCAGTTTATATAGTTTCAACTTTCAACCCCGAATTAAGATCCAGCTTGGCTATTAAATTGGAAGGTAGCACGGTAGCATTGACAAAATATAGTGAAATCAATTCTTATAGAAATTGGTACTCCCTCCAGTATTGATAAGCTGGTGGTTCGCCACTTTGCTTCCATGATGAACCCTTTAAGCGTTTGAAAACACGCCTCCTTCACGTGCTTCACTGGCAACCTGTAACGGAAACGGGCACTGCAAACATCTAAAAACGGTTTCAGATCACACAGTTCACAACTTCCAAAATACCACATTTGCTCCAATTGTTAACATAGACCCGGGCAAGCCGGCGGCGGAAGTTTCCCAAAAATAAATGACCTATAGTTCAAAGACAACCTGTCCCGACCGTGTCCTTCCCTCGACACTCCACACCTCACACTGCACTCTTCGCACTCCAAACTTCAAACTTCACACTCCACACTTCACACTTCACACTCCACACTTCTCACTTCTCACTGCTTCCTTCACACTCCAAACCTCACACTTCACACTTCACACTTCACACTGCGCTCTTCGCACTCCAAACTTAAACTTCACACTCCACACTTCACACTTCACATTCCACACTTCACACTTCTCACTTCCCACTGCTTCCTTCACACTTCACACTTCACACTGCACTCTTCACGCCCCACACTTCACACTGCTCTAAACCTACGTGCAACAAAAAAACACTAGTGCCAAAATGGAAAAAATCTGCTAACAAATCCATTTCGCAGCCTTCATGCAGCCACTCCAATACGATTTACGATCTTCAGCTGCAAAAGACAATAGTATTACGAATGCAGCCACAGCACGAAGCAACCTTGACGCAGCCATTACAATGCGATCTGCAGAGACTGAGTTGCAAAACACACTAGAACTACGCGCAACGGCGTCGGAAATTGTAGCTCCAAAACCGGATCTCGACGCCAGAGCGAAAAAAAGACGATTTTGAAGCACTTTCTAAAAGGATTTTTAGAAGGAAAATCACTAGCGCCAAAATGGAGAAAATCTGCTGACAAATCACTGTGGCAGCCTTCATGCAGCCACTCCAATACGATTTACGAAGTCGAGCTGCAAAAGACAATAGTATTACGAATGCAGCCACGGCACGAAGCAACCTTGACACAGCCATTACAATGCGATCTGCAGAGACTGAGTTGCAAAACACAATAGAACTACGCACAACGGCGTCGGAAATTGTAGCTCCAAAACCGGATCTCGACGCCTGGAGAAAATCTGCTAACAAATCACTGTCGCAGCCTTCATGCAGCCACTCCAATACGATTTACGAGATCCAGCTGCAAAAGACAATAGTATTACCAATGCAGCCACAGCACGAAGCAACCTTGACGCAGCCATTACAATGCGATCTGCAGAGACTGAGTTGCAAAACACAATAGAACTACGCACCACGGCGTCGGAAATTGTAGCTCCAAAACCGGATCTCGACGCCAGAGCGAAAAAAAAACGATTTTGAAGCACTTTTTAAAAGGATTTTTAGAAGGAAAATCATTAGCGCCAATGGAGAAAATCTGCTGACAAATCACTGTGGCAGCCTTCATGCAGCCACTCCAATACGATTTACGAAGTCCAGCTGCAAAAGACAATAGTATTACGAATGCAGCCACAGCACGCAGCAACCTTGACGCAGCCATTACAATGCGATCTGCAGAGATTGAGTTCCAAAACACAATAGAACTACGCGCAACGGCGTCGGAAATTGTAGCTCCAAAACCGGATGGATCTCGACGCCAGAGCAGAAAAAGTTGATTTTTGAAGCGTTTTTTATAAAGAATTGAAATAGAAAATGAAAGCAGGCAAAATCTGAAAGAATCCAGCTGCAGCAAGTTCACGCAGCCATTACAATGCGATTAGCAACAATCCCTAGCAAAACACAATGGTATTACGTCCTCAGCTCGTCCACCGAACCATTTGAAACCTTCTAGACATTGCGGGAACGATCCTACAGTTGCAAAGCACAATGGAATTCCATCGGCAACTCATCCACCAGCAACACTTGCAATCCCATTTACATTGCGGGAACGATCCTACAGTTGCAAAGCGCAATGGAATTCCATCGGCAACTCCTCCACCAGCACCACTTGCAATGCCATTTGCATTGCGGGAACGATCCTACAGTTGCAAATCACAATGGAATTCCATCGGCAACTCATCCACCAGCACCACTTGCAACCCCATTTACAATGCGGGAACGATCCTACAGTTGCAAATCACAATGGAATTCTGTCGACCACACATGCACGAAAAACAGTTGAAACCCCATTTACAATGCGGA